CGTTGCTTACACCGGAGAGGAAGCATACGTTTGAGTAAATTACCTCAGTCGATGACCGTGGACGTCAATAAGCCCAAAGTTACTGAAAACGGCCCATTAAGGGCAACGCCAATTTGATTTATTTGCCTCCGAGCTATGAATTCTGTTCAGGGACTAAACCAAGGTATAGGTCTAGATTCCTTTTGAGAGCGGATTTTGTAGGAGCATTAACTACTTCTTCGGAGAGGCTATTCCGAGGTGGAATGACCCTGTGGGTGAAGGAGCATTGGCGGAGTAGTGTACGGCACGCGGTTTGAAGAGTCTCTTGCTATGCATACGAAGATTATCCATGTTAGTGCGCACGAAGTAGTCATCGACCATACCGAACTTGAAGGTGCAGCTCTTATTTATGAAGTTTAGCTCGTTTTAAAATGTCACTATGGGACACTTCGAAAGCTGACAAAAGTTGGTTTTATTTTTTAATCGTCGATTACCTTGGGCTGAAATTTTCAGAATGATATTTAGAGTAGTTTTGACATTTATATGGAAGGTGCAGTTCTTATTGAGGGAGATTTTGTCCATTTCGTTAACGAGAACTAGTTCCTATATATTAATCAATAATAATAATTTTATTTTTCATGGTAAATTAATTTCCCTTCAATTTGTTTTAGTTGTCGGATGCACCAGGGAATCTGGCATTATTTTGAAGGTCTTCAATAAGCGAGATAGTTTTTGAGCGACAGATGTCTCCAGTTGGGATTTTGTTCATGGTTTGGATAATGGGGATTGATCAAATGACCTTGAATCTTTTGAAAAAGAGAAGGATGAAGCAAGGAAGTAAGGTGTTAGAATCAGATAAAATCGGGAAACATGGCAGTCCAGCTCTTGTCCAGTCCGTCCTTGAACTGCGCTGAGACAAACCTAGGCTGGCAGTCTGTTCCATGCGTTTACCACCCTATGGCACAAAACGTTCGTCCTTATGCTCTTCAGAGCTCTGGGTTTGCTCAATTTCAATCTGTTGCTACTGAGGAAAGGGTTTTCGTCTATGCTGAGTAGGGAGCTCCGTGCTGGCAATTCCTTTCAGGAGCTTGAAGGTCTCTGTAAGATTCCCCCCTCAATCTTCTGCGTTTGAGGGGGACATATCCCAACCTCTCCAGCCTCTGGGTGCACGTTACCTGTTGGAAACCTGGGAGAACTTTAATGACTCTTCTTTGTATCCTTTCAAGAGTGGTCATGTCTCCAACTTTAGTTGGTGCTCACGCCTGGACTCCATACTCTAAGTGGGGATGAACGAACGCTTTCCAATGGAAGCAGGACTTTCGAGTCCCTGGATGCAACAGTGCGTCGCAACTGGAGCAATGCACTTTGAGTCTTCCCAGCAGCCTCAGCACATTGTGGTGTCTGCTTGAATGACTGGTGCATAATCATTCCCAGGTCTTTATTGTCTCTGTGTACTAAATTATCATAGGGTTATGGGGGTCAAAGTAGCGCACTACAAGGAAACCGTCGGACACTAAGCGCCTGCACTTGCTGGCGTTTAATGGTAGGCCACAGACCACGGACCAGTTATAGACGGGGTTTAAGTCCGCCTGTATGATATCCCAGATGGGCTACCTAGAAACCTCAGCATCATAAGCAAGTGGGGAGCACGGCGACTGTAGCCTTTGAGCTGGATCGTTAGTAAAGATTATGAACAGCAAAGAAAAAAAGCACCGTTACCTGTGGTACCCCACTGCAGGCCCAGGCGGAGCTAGATCCGGACTATATAGGCGGCAAAAGGGAAAAATTACCTGGTGGTGAGCTGCCTCATTAGGGTAGAGGCAGCTGCGGATAGAGGCGAGCTGCAGTAGCCAGGATCATTAGATACCGAAATCGAAGAAAAGACCTCTACTCTCTCCTCATATGCTCTAGGGCTCTAGGGCTTTTCTCATTAAAAAGAAGGAGACTGTGAGAGAACCTGATAGAAACTTTCAAAATCATGAAGGGAATATCGGGGATAGGAGCGGACACTCTCTTCACATTAGCTCCACAACACGGCACTAGGGGGCATGAGTTCAAGCTCATGAAGCAAAGATGTCGACTAAACATGCGAAAGCACTTTTTCAGTAATAGGATAGTCGATAGCTGGAAACGGCCTCCCCAGGAAATAGCCGACCTTCAAACAGTGCAGCCCTTTAAGACTGCCCTTGATAAGCAAGCCTATCCTCATATCTGGAAGTGCAGATGAGTGTAGATGTGCCAAATGTTCCGGATGCCATTTCCCTTTTTCACTGGTGCACGTAATGGAACGCTCACATCTAACAATTCACTCACCACCTTGCTGAGATGATATTCTGTTTCTCATTCTTAGTTCAGCAGAGCCGGTTGCCCACGTAGTGAGCATATCATCGAAGGAATTCTGGACGCTCGATTGGCTGTGGCCATATTCAGTCCTGTGTAACCTGACCTGTGCTGTCCTCAAAGGCCGTTCAAGGACGCGCGGATCGAAATTTGGAGTTGTGATAGAACAGAAGCCGCAACGTAGGCGCTTTCTAAAATTCCTTTTTTTTGTACCATTCCAGGTCCCGCACATATTCGATGAACAGGACCAGAAGAATTGCGGCCAAAAGACACCGTTTGAGACCCTTTTGTACTTTTCATCCCGGACTTGAGATCCGCTTTTGAACGGACTCTCCTCCCTTGTTTTCCGTACACTGTGTTTCCTGCTTCATCCCACTAGTGTGTTCGTGTACTCACTTCGTGGGTCGCTCGTTTGGGACGCCGCCCTCCAAGGTACGCTAATAAACCTTAGTCTCCAAGCCTTCAGCTCTGCAATTATATCAGCAATGTGCTTGATGATCGCTGGGTTAGATCCGTCTTGTCCCGGAGCTTTGGATACCTTAAGGCCGCTTAGTACCTGAGATACTTGATCGACTGTTACCCGTAGTTCCTCCACCACGACCGTCACCCAGTCCTGGGAAGCACTTGACTCACCGGTGTTGAACCTTAGCACTTTGCTAAAGTAAGCGCAGAATGCACCAGCTTTACTCTGGTTTTCAGTTATAACCCTATTTTCTTCAAATACCAGTGGGCCCATCTCTTCTCTGGTACAACCCTTTGACTGGACATACCCGTCCTTTTTGGCTCGAGCTTTACTTTCTGGGCCAGCTTCATTTCGTACAACCGCTTTTCTCTTTCACTAGGTTAACCACTGCATTTCTGTGCAATTAATCATCGACCTATGGGTGTCGGTCAGTTGATAGGCTCGCCAGCTTCGGTTTCGGTATCTAATGACCCTGGCTACTGCAGCTCGCCTTTATCCGCAGCCGCCTCTACCTTAATGAGGCAAAGAGGTCCTGGAGGTTGAGGAGCTTGTGGTCGATTAACAACCAGCATTCCTCTATGTCTGTGGTGTATCGCCTACTTATGTTCATTCTACCAAAATCCCTATACATCAGCAATCTACGTACAGGTAGCTTCGTCTGGAAATCGACCCCGATGAGGAGGTGATCACTCTTTCCAATCGGTGGATATCCAGCGACACTAACTACATCCTGTTTCCTTTTGGAGACCACCAGATCCAGTAGGGATGGTTCCTGCTGATCTCTGAACCGCGTGCAGAATGCAACACACTGAAAGAATGACCTTGTGTTTATTCACTCTAAATACCTTTCCTCCTGACTATCTTTGGTGCACCAAACTGCCATCAAATCTATATCAGGTGGGTTAAAGTCAACAACTATGTATAGCTTCATTTATCCCTGAACAGAGAGATCAAGTGCATCAATCAGTGCCCGATCATGGGTGATCTCAGCCTCGGGACACCAGTAGACGCACGCCATCGTAATGTTGTTGTCCGGTAAGAGCAGAGTTACGGCACATAGTTGAACACTGTGCAGGTTCACCGAAACTTCGCAAACCAAGTGGATAATGTCCGTCCTTATGAGGAAGGCTACTTCTTCTGGTGCTAGAGGTCGATCCTGCCGGTGGATGTCGAAGCTGTCTAGCACTAAACCTGGTGTCTTATCGTGGCCCTTAAACCATGTTTCCGATACAGCTATTACAGCTGCATTTAGGTCATACGTTACTGCAAAGAGTTCCATCCACTTATTCCTAATACTGCACGTGTTCGTTACAAGTAACCGACAGCTCTCAATTGATGGATTATGGTGCTCATTTTTTCACTCTATCTTGGGCCTCAGACACAGCACCCAAGTGGGTAGCAACTTTTTTTGACGACTTGCTTCCATCATCCTGCTTACTCGGTGACGAGGCAGCTTCGCGACTCCTCGTCCTCCATTACATCCTCGATCACCACTATTGATGACATCTTATTTCCGCCGGTCGTTAAGGATCGGTTTCCGCCTGTCACCCCGAAATGGCTCGGCAAGTGAATGTGCATTCTGGGTGCTCTGCCTTCTAAGACCCCTGGGCACATCCGGGGTTATTATGTACCTACTCCGTGTTACGTGGAATATTCTCCCAGGGTTTGCCAGTAGTTGATTTCTACTGGCTTGTTCAGCAAATTCCACTAGAAGTGGCCTAGCCGCTCGGTGTTTACCATTGTTTGTCCCCCGCCATACTCCAACTCTATGGACTCTCCTTAGTTTACATCGTTCCATGCCAGCTCTCCTTAGGATATGTAGCACACTGCATCTATCCATGTCCCGACGAGCTTCTGTCTCCTTTACCAGTGACTCTTCGTTGTTGAGGATCAAAAGTNTTTTAGGAATCCCAGTTTGGTCGCCGTCGTTTGTTTTCAGTGACCTAAGTCGGTAACCTTCTAGGCCATCGAGAATGGTTTTCTTGGCCTCATTGGGTTTACTCTGACCTTTGCCAGCAGTTCCAACGTTAGGGGTTTTGGTAATAGGCCTCCTGAATACCCGCGGTACAGCAGAACTGACTGCTGTCTCAACTTTGCTAGTCGCCCTGCAGCCCCGGATGATGGGGCCAGCCTTAGCTTTTGCATCATCCCCGAAAGCTTTCGGCGGATTCAGTTGCTTGGTCTCTTTGGTGGGGCAGCAAGCTCTCTGGTCTTTAGTTTAAGGCGGCATTTCTGTCGCCCCCTTATAGATATGGGTGACTATGGCCGCTTTAAAGTCACTTGGGAAGGTGGCTGTCTCGACCGACTTGATAACTAGGCTGGCTAAAGGGCGTGCTAAGATCCCCTTCAATGGTTTTAAGATCGCGCGGTGCATGTCGTCTGGGCCTGCAGGTTTGTTCCTGTCTAGTGCTTCAATAGTTTTTTCAACTTTCTGTGGCCCGATTAAGATTTTATCCATGGGGCGCTCGGTCGTGGTACTTTGTGCCTGCACGGTATTGCCCGGGTCCACAGTGCACAATGCTTCGAAATGATGTTGTAGAGCAGAAGCCTTTTCCAAGCTAATGAGCGTTGGGTTGCCACCAGCGTCGCGGATGCATCCGATAGTTTCCCTAGTGGCCGCCTTCGACTGTACATAACCGTAATTTGCTTTCAGGCACATCTTACTCTTCTTTTCCACCGTGAGCTCATAGAGTTGCTTGGATTCTGACTGAGCCCTGTAGTAGGTTTTGCGCTCCTGCAAGTTCTGAAGGTATCTCGAGTGACCGTTAGTGGCAGTGAACCTCTTCTAGGCTGCCCGCTCTCTACTCAGTAATTAGGCCTACCGTCGAAACCACCGCCAAGGATTATTAGGTCTACCTTGCGAACGCAATGATGCAAGGCGTCAGCCAACGAGATGAGGTTTGTTTTTATTCTGTCCCCAGTCTCGCGGTAATTTGTCGCTTCCTCCGGCCATTAGAGCTATGACGCGGCCAAGGGGAGACCCTCAGTGTCCAATCCTCTGTAGCATCGCCTGGGTTCTAACCGCGGAGCTCGTAGACGACAGACAAAAAGGAAACGAATAGTTGCGTGATCACTCCTACCTAGCGATGATCCTAGTTCTAAGCCCTCGAATTCATTCAAGCCATTGGTAAATACCAGGTCCAGAATTTAAGGTGGGTTACCTGGTTTCTATCTTGTTGGGTGCTTGATGTGCTGTATCAAGGCTGAGTTGAGCACTATATCAAGCAACTTCTCTCCTAAACTGCTGGGTGGTGCGTTTTCCGTCGGCCAGTCAATCTCAGGAGCGTTCACGGCAGTAAGCACAGATGCGTATCATGTAATTCTTTGGTTGGTGTATACACGATAATGTCATCTTGGTAAGCTGCAACTCCATCCAAACCAGAAATTAAGAGAATTCACAACATTCTGAAATATAACCGGTGAAACACTAAGAACAAATGTCAAAAGGTTATAAAGAAATAGATCAAATGGTGTGGTAATTGTGGTCAATTCACTAGACTTATCATCAAGTGAAGAAATGCATCCTTTAGGTCTAGTTTGGAAAAGAATTCCGATCCGTAAAATTGATGGAGGATGTCTTCGGGTTCAATGGTTGAGCAGCTTGTTTGCTTTAAGAATCTGTTGGCTGCAATACGGTAAGCCCCACAAATTCTGGGTGTTTTACCAGCACGTTTCAACGAAACCATAATAGGGGTAGCCCAAACAGAAGAATCCACAGGCTTTAATACACCCTTCTCAAACAAGTCGTGCAAAACTGTTTTCATGGGTTCATGGAAACCCAGTGGTATAATTCGACGTTTCAGAAATATTGGGGAACCATCAAATTCCAAGTCAGTTGGGGCCATTTTAATTCCACCCTTATTGTTGGAGCGATTAAGAACCAACTGACGCAGTCGAGATTGTTGATCATCAGTGAAAAATGAAGGAGAAATTTTCATGCATTTCATACAATCGAGGCCAATAATATAAATGAATCAATAACAAGAAAGAAGCAATTGAATAGGTGCTGTTCGTCATCAGTAAGAAGTAGTTCACACGAATCCAAAACAGGAAGGTTATGGCCTGTTATACCTTTAACCGTAATGTCAGTTGTGTTAAGATACACTCGTGGTTTCAAACGCTGAAGAACAGTCTTTGAAATAGGTGAGTGCACACTCCCTGTGTCTATGATGAATGAATGACGAAAACAATGATTGACTGTGAAGGTACGAATAATATGTTGAGACTTGTTGGAACTGTGAACGGATAAATTTATCGATAGACAAGCACGAGTCAGGGACTGAGTTCTGTGTCAAACAGTTACGTGTGCTTAGACGAACAGATTGGATATGCGCAGACTTATCACACTTGCGGCACTTGGAATTGCAAAATTTGCAAGTTAGTCGAGAATGTCGCCTACCGCATGATTTGCAAGGGTTCCAATGGTGGATGTTATTATTTGTAGGTTGCGTGGACGTCGAACTATGATTAACGGCTTTGTTGACACTTTGGAACTGCCGCGTCTGTTGAGCTTCAAGCACTGAACCACGGTTGTGACTGAACAATACTTTCGGCTCCTCTCGTACGGCCACACGTATATCCTGATATTTTTCACAGACCAACTTTGCGGTTTGAAAAGTGCAGTTTGGAATCAACAATAACTGCTGCTCTAGCTCAGAACAGTTAATTCCAGCAATGAGTCCATCACGGAGCTGGGTTTGAAGCTGGTCTTCGAAATTTCAGCGAGCAGCGTAAGTCTGCAGCTGAAGAATGAAGTCTCCGACGGACCGATTAGGATCACGAACAAGGCAATCGAATTTCACTCTGTCAGCTGCCTCGAAGTTGACTGGCTGGAAATGCTTTAGTAACAGATCCTTCAATTCGTCGTACTTCGGTTGGATCGGTAACTCTGGGAATGCCAAATTTTTAATTAGCGCATAAACTTCCTTTCCAACAGCAGTAAGAAAATGTGCCGTTTTCCTCTCGGCGCCCAGACTCTTGCGGGTAAGACACCAAATCTCAAAACGCTCGAAACAATCTTCCATATAACGTGAATTCGAATGAATATCAAGAATTTCCAAGTTGCATGTGTCAATAATTAGACAAAAGCTGCGACGCCAACTGTGACAATCTGTAATTGGTATCGGAATTCGAATCGCAATAAATCCGCATAGTTAAGCTCCAACCGAAATAGTATGCAGTATGGAATAAAATTCTAAAATATTCGAAGTCGAATTATATTACGCGTCGAAATCATACAAAGCAATCGATCATGTAAGGAAACAATAATTTTCAGTTTATAAACAATCACCACATCATCCCAGCGGAGAAATAACGACGCGTGTCACGAATGATTTCTTGACGGCTCACAGAGATTGTACCAGTAGCGAACCGGAAATGCCCTTTGAGTCAAAAGCGGATAGCGATTGATGTGAACTATAATCCATGTGTTCGGTACTGCGATGTTCAATTGTGTAGTCATAAGCAGAGTCAGATGCTCCAACGCTGAATCATACCTGCACAGCTTCTGAAAAGGGATTTATCAGGGTTATAAAAAATTTCAAGGCCTCACGATCGGTAACGGTGGTCAAACGATAATCAAAAAGGAACTTGTGGAGGCGTCTGACTGTCAATATACAGTTTGTTCATTTTGTTCAAGAATAACACCAGTGCCATCAGGTGATGAATCAGTAATAAAAGTGGAGTGAGTTTTGGGACTGAATGGATGAAGTACAGTATTGGTCTGCAGAAAACTCAGCAATTCACGTAATCTGTGCTCATGAACATCAGTCCAAATTAAGTTGTCAGAAGATGAGAGTAGTAATAGGGGTAAAGCTTTCTGACTGAAATTAGGGATAAATCCAGAAGAGTACTGTGGGGCTCCAATCAGGGATCTTAGTTGGTGTACGTTAGATGGTTATTTGGCTTTCGTTAGAGGAAGTAAGCGCTTTGGGTCAGGCTTGTGACCCTTGTCATCAGCTAGATATCCAAGACATTCGAAATGGAAGACACAAAGTGAACAACTCTTAAGACGAACGACAACGGTTTTATCAGAAAACCTACAAAAGATTTCAATTAATTGCGCGGAATGAGTGGACTTGTCTGGAGCGTGAAAAATAATGCTATACTGATACACTTCAACATCAGATATACCACTAATAATTTCATCCATAATATGTTGAAATATGACAGAAGAAATGATAAACTAAACGTCAGAATCTGATATTTGTACAAACCAAACGGAGTAATAATACTTGTCCAAATGGAGGACGTTTCGTTTGACGGGATTTGCACATAAGAATCTTTCAAGTAAATCTTGGAAAATACCTTATAACCAGTCAACATATTCAGAATGTCCTCTGGTTCAACAACGTTTGTCGTAACAGTCTTGGATTTAGGGCGATTCGCTAGTCACCGCATTCTAGGGGTATCACCATCCGACTTGAGTGGTGTGATGATTGGTGTACCCCATGCTGACGACACCACCTTCTCTATAACACCTTCGGAACACAAATTGCTTAGTGCATTCATGACAAGTTCCCAAAGGCCATATGGAATAAACCGGCAGTTGAGAAAAACTGGATTGACATTAACTGGCAGTTTCACTGGGGGGAAGTTTCATGCCACCACGTTCAGTTCATTTTCAGTATCAATAGATGTTAACAAGGAAACATTTAGTGCTTGAATTGCTTTCAAGCTTAGTATATATGTATCTTAATCCACCTATCCCCTTTCAATGTTATTGTTGTTGCGTTGGCACCATGCTTGTTTTTGAGACGGTGGTAAATATATATATATATATATATATATCGAACGAACAGTTTTAAATCATGAACAGAAATCAGGGAATCCACGCTACCACTGCCCAAAATGAAATGAAGTAAGTGTTACGTCTGCGAGTATTACATTACACCAACACCGTTATCTAGGCCGAACAGGCTCGAACTTCGCATTAACGATCACTCATCAACTGGTATGGACAAGTTCGCACGCGATATCGACAATCAATCCCGAAATGGAACGAATGTATTCAACCCGATAACAAAGAACGATCCCAAGGAACCGAAACCGACGAGGACGTGCAATGAAAACACGAATACAGATGACAGATCACGACCTTTATGCGGTATCTAAAACACATTATATTAAATTGTACAGAACAGGAAAAACATACTTGGATGTATATTCACCCAAGCAGAACTCAGAAGACAATCGAACGAAATTTACACCAAGCTCAACCGAGCTGACCGAGCAATATGTCCCGGGTTGAACGTTGAAAACGTTATGCTGGAACGTTTAAACAAACAGGAAGTTACAAACCGCAAAGAATTGAAATGACAGGAAACAAACAGTAATAAAGAAGAATAAAAAACCTTTCGTTTTAACCGCAGTGAATCAGCTGCCGTAATCGATTCCAGTTAGTTAGTTTCCAGTGGAACTGAACATTTGTTCACGAATACGACCAGAATGGGAGGTAATTGCCAAAGAAAACGAAGAAAACGGTTTGTCTATTTCACTCCGTTCGGATTCAATGGACTGACACAGGCGACACAGACTGAATGTGACCAGTTTATCGACGCTCGTGAGATGAAGCGGAACGGAATAGACATGTCCATATAGAATGACGTTTGCCACAGGAAGCACAGTTGCCATAGGACTTCTCCGAATGTGTCACATTAT